ACAAATCCAGCATCATTTTGGCAATTTGTTAATTCAAAGAGAAAAAATGCAAATACACCCCAACTCCTTCGTTATGGTGAAAAAGAAACAACAAACACATATGAGCAGTCGAAAATGTTTGCCGAATTCTTCAGCACGAACTTCCATGATTCATCGCGTCAAAATATCAACGACAATCAAATGAATGACCGTCACATTACAACGAACGTTTTATTTGATCTTGACGAGCATTTTGTTTTTGATGAGCTCATGAAAATCGACACAACTAAAGGAATTGGACCGGATGGTATTCACCCTTTGCTACTTCGAAATTGCTCGGCATTACTCTACAAACCACTATCGATTATTTTCAACGAATCACTTGCATTATCAGCGTTCCCCACCGCTTGGAAACGATACAGTGTCAGTCCTGTCTTCAAGAAGGGCGCAAAATCGAACATTGAGAATTACCGTTGCATTGCTAAGTTGCCTACCATTGCTAAATTCTTCGAAAAACTGGTAAACATCAAACTCATCAAATTGATCGACACTCAAATAATTCCGCAGCAACACGGATTTATGAAACATCGCTCAACGGCAACGAATCTCATGGAATTCACTCACTACGTGATTAAGAACCATGGTCAAGTTGATGTGCTCTATACCGACTTCAGCAAAGCCTTTGATAGGGTAAATCATCGCATTTTGATATCGAAACTTAAAAAATTCAACCTTCCGCTTAATCTTGTCAACTGGATCGAATCGTACATCACCGATAGACGACAATTTGTGTTATACGAACATCAACAATCTGACGATTTTGTAGTTAACTCCGGAGTTCCACAAGGAAGCCACATAGGACCGACATTGTTTTTGCTGTTCATTAATGATATAGCGACGAAGCTAGGCCCTGACGTCTTCATTTCACTATTTGCTGATGATCTCAAAATTGCAACGATTATAAATTCACCTGATGACATCAATAAACTTCAATCGGCAATAAACAAACTCAAAATATGGTGTATTGAAAACGATCTACACCTCAACCTTGATAAATGTGCAATCATGTCAATCTCAAATCGCCAGACTGCGAACATCGTAATTGGTAAATACTTTTATGGTGCCCATGAATTTCGTAGAGTCAACGAACATAGAGATCTCGGTGTACTCATTGATTCAAAATTGAACTTTATCGAACACATTAACGCCATCACTGCTAAAGCAGCGTCGACTCTGGGTTTCATCAAGCGATTTTGCTACGACTTCAGAGATATTTGCACACTCAAGTCACTCTACTATGCTTTGGTTCAATCAGTACTGGAGTATTGCAGTGTGGTTTGGCTCCCGTTCTATGAATGCCACAAAGGGAAAATTGAAAGTATTCTCATTCAATTTACAATGTTTGCGTTGAGAGAATATCAAAATGCAGCGAACAACTACACGATTTCGAGCTACGATCAACGCCTGTTAAAACTTGACATGCAATCGCTACAAAGACGACGTATAAACGCTTCAATGATGTTCTTCTACGATCTCATCAATGACATTATTCATTGCCCGCGACTAAAAAACTTCGTCACCCAAAATACAAATGCAAGAAATACGCGAATTTCATATTTATTTAAAATTATCGACCAGCGATTGAGTATCACGAAAACCGCCCCTATCAACCAAATGTGTTCATACTCCAACTTGATTAAACCATTATTTCAACAATCGTCTTCACGCAACAACTTTAAATCGTCACTCAAAAAACTTCCTGATACTGTCTTCAGGATAAAGTCATTAGCTAATACCTACAGCACGCATTTTTTTCCTAACCTAATGTGATTTATGCTATAAGCAGAAAAATGTCTATTTATCACTCATTCCATTTAATGTAACTAGTTAATTATATTATCAAATTTAATCGGCTATGCAAAATCAGCTCTATTTACAATATTTATTATATTTTTATTTTTTTTCAATCATAAGAATTGAATAAAAACAGCCAGTCTTTGGCGGTGCATTATTATTATTTTTCTAACTGTGTCCTTTGCCTCCCTTTTTTCCAAAAATATATTCGTTATTTATTTTCATTTACTAAATGTATTCTTAATCTCAATTCAAAGAAGGCAGGAAACAATATTCAAGAGAAATAATCTAAGCTAAATGAAAAAAATTGAATGAAAATTTTAATTCAAAAAACAAGATTCCAATAAAAAACACCAATTAATAAGTTCGGCCACTCCGTGTGCATTTTCGATGAACGTAGGCTATCGGTGTTTGATTTGTTTTGTCTTGGTTCGGATTTTCATTAAATATTCGAATGTGCCGTGTGTTCCGACGATAATCTCGACCGTTAGATCGAACAACATATGACCGTGCTGTATCGTTTTATCAACAACGTTCCCGTGTTGCCATTTGTCGTTGTTTCTGAATAAAACGCTTTGTTCATTTTTTAAGTCGAGGTTTCTCGGCTTGGCACATTTGTCGTAATATGATTTACAGATCTTTTGCTTTGCTTGTTGTTGTTTTTCGACGTCAATGCATAATTCGAGTCGAAATTTATTGATGTGCATTGGCAATTCAGTTCTCAAATTTCGATTTTGAATTAGCTGAGCTGGCGAATATGACATGTTTTTGGTTGGTGTGGTGCGGTATGCGAGCAATGCTCTGAGAATATCTTCTTCATTCTCTGACTTCCTTAAAATATTTTTACAAATACCGACCGCTTTTTCAGCCATTCCGTTTGACTGTGGGAAATTAGGGCTGCTTGTAATGATTTCAATATCATGCTTTTTGGCGAATTGTTTGGTTTCATAAGAACCCATTGGCATATTATCTGCAATTATTATATGTGGGTACAGAGCCATTTCTAGCTTCGCTGGCGCCCTGGTTCAAAATCCGTTGGCGCCCCTTCAAACTGGAATTTTTAAAAGTGTGTGAAAAAATCTCAAAAATGATACATTTGATCCAAGTTTATTTGAAAAGCAACAAAAAAATGATACATTAAAATGACTTAAAGAAATGTCTTTTTTCTCGCTTTTGAAGTGGCAAATTCTTCAATCACGTCGTCATATTGAATCGAATTTGCTACATCGCTTTCTATCGATATGATTGCCAGATGATTGAGCCTGTCTTGACCTATTGCATTTCTGAGATAAGTTTTAGTTAACTTTAGCTTTGAAAACGATCGCTCTCCCGTTGAAACAGAAAATGGGATCGTCAGCAGAATAAGAAGCGCAATAACAGCATTTGGAACTAAGTTTTCCATTTTTCGCTTCTGAATTGAATTCAGTATATCGATTGCGTGAATAATATTATCCTGATTAACCAAACTTGAAACCAATGAAAGTTCTACAAATAAATCGTCACCATCGATATCGGATTTTCCATCATGAGTTAAAGCAATTTCTAGTTTCTTGCATGATTTCTGCAAACTACCGTTGTTTCGGTTTGCTTCATAGTTTTCAAAATCATAAAGAAACGAGAATAATTCGCTGTGTTGCTTTAGTGCTTTGAAACGATCAGTGACTGAATCAGTTGCGGATTCAATGATTGGTAAGAAAACTTTTGTTTCAAATTCCTCTGCATTTGTAACAGTTGTTCTACCCGCTCGACGTTTTTGATGATCAAATTCATCTTCAATCGAAATGCGTTCGCAAATTTCCGTTGCTTCATTGAGAACCTTTTCGCAGCCATTTTCTTTATAACTTTCAAGAAAATTCATCACACTTTCAAGAGATGTCAGAGCCGTTTGAACATTTGACTGAATTGTTTGTAATGCTTTGGACGCTATGTTTGTGTGGCTCAAAATGTCATACCGAAAGCAAGTACAGCAAATGAAAATAAAATCAATTTTGTCGGCGAGTGTTCCCGCTTCAAATCGGACATCTTTGTTGAAGCTCTCAGTATCTTCGATTTCCCTCAGTGCAGCAATAATTTCACCAGAGTTTTTACACAGCGGTTTGATTGCGTTGATTCGGCTTGACCATCGCGTTGTGCATAACGGTTTCGGTGTTTTTGCTTTTGCTGGAATCAAATGCTTCTTCAATACATCCCACCGATTTGTTGCAGCTGATAGAAATACATAAATCTTCTGGACTGTGGCAAAGTATTGTGTTCCAATTAAAGTAGAATCCGCAGCGTCATTAACAGTGAGATTTAATGAGTGATTACCACAAGGATTGAAAAATGGTCTCGGGTTCTGATTCAAGATTCTCCTTTGAACACCGACATTTTTGCATTTCATTGGGGCACCATTATCAAAGCCCTGACCACGCATATCATCCAAATCCAACCCTAACGCCTCTAATTCAGTGGTAGCTGCGCCAGTAATCAACAGACCAGTCTTAGCTGATGAAATGTCGGTAAATTTCACAAAGCTCTCTTTTATTTCCCATCTTTGATTTGCTTTATCCAAGTGAACGTAGCGCAAAATCATACACATTTGTTAATGCATAGAGTCAGAAAAACAATGTGACAAGTGATACATTTGAGAGAGTTGACAGCGCGACAATAGCGCGGCGATTCGTCATAATTCAATTTCATGTAAACACTTACCCAATTTTTTTTTTACATTTTCGCTGTGCGGCTGATGTTTTCATATGCTAGTGTGCTTAAATAGCAGTAATCGCATTACGACCGCTGGTCGATGAGCGACACATTCAATAACAATATTTTTACTTACGTATGCACAAATGATTCGCCGAGAATAAAAACATCGTACTGAATTGGTCGCTGTATTGAATGCAACACATAGTTTTTTCTACATAGAGTTCAATAGCTCCGTATGAAAAAAAAACTGGGTTTCGTTTTGTTTAGCATTTTTTTTTCGGACGCTGTTTTAATTGCCACTTGTTCTAATCAAAACTCATACCATTAAACTTTATCGAGCGCTCTTTTAAATGCATTCGTCTTCTCAGTTTGAAACTCAACGGCACCGAAAAAGGCAGGGGCGACGAAAACAATCAATAAAGCGATTCTTTATTTTAAAATAATATATTCTCTATTTTAAAATAAATAATTGCTTCCCATTGACGCCCTTGAATATTTTTCGGCGCCCTTGTGTTCCAAATTTGAATGAAAAACGGCGCTCGAGCGCTTCATTCAAGAACATTGAAAATTTTTAATTTATAAAAAAAGCTTTCAGAAAATTTTCAATTCGGAGCGCCCACGAGCGCCTTCGGCGCTCGTGCGCCCTGGTTCTTTGAACCACTTGAACCCCCGCTAGAAATGGCTCTGTGTGGGTAACCAAATGTAGCGAATAGCCTTAATAATTCTGTATTTACATGATGAGCAGTTTTGCCTTTCAATTTAACTAATTCTATCCACTTCGAATAGAAGTCAACTACGACAAGAAAACTCTTTGATTTAAAATCTAAAATGTCGCATGCAATTTTCTTGAACGGTTCATTCGGAATGTCATGTGGCAAGAGCGGCTCTTTTTGAATTTTCGGCGCATTCTCTTGACAAATAATGCAATTTGAAACTGTTTGCTCTATTTCATTGGAAATGTTTGGCCAGAATACTGAATTTTGGGCACGTTTGAGTGTTTTGTTTATGCCGAAGTGCGGCTTATGCAATTGGTGCAAAATTTCTTTTCTCTTGTGAATTTCGGAATGATTATTCGTTGTTTATAGAACAGGATTTCGACTTCGAGCAATATGTCGGACCTGAGTATATAAAAATATCTCGTGGATGGATCGCATTTGTCTTTATTATTTGGCCATCCGAATTTGCAATATTCCTTGATTTGCTTTAAAATCTCATCATTGTTCGTCTCTTGCTGTAATTCGATTTTACGCGCGTCTGTCACGTTAATCGACAAGATCGACTCAGTAATTGATTGATCTTCCGAAACCTTTTCACTTTTGCTCATGTATCTCGATAGATAATCCGCTAAAACTATCGTTTTGCCAGGTGCATGTTCAAGAATTATGTCATAATTGAGTAATTTAAGTCTCATTCTCTGTAGTTTTGCTGACGCTATTTTGTGTATTTCTTTATTCATGATTCCCAGAAAGGGCTTGTGGTCGTTGACAATTCGCACTGTTCTGCCGTAAGTGTAGAAATGAAACTTTTGGCAGGCGAAAATAATTCAACAAACAATTGAATCACACCTTATTGTTTTCACTAATTCAATATTTTCAATTCATTTAAAACAAAAGAATTTGAAAAGAGTACCTTGAATGCATTTCGGTATTATCATACCATCATCAGCATCACGACTAAACAGAAAAGTCGTCGGTTGTCACGTAAAAACATCGGTCGGTGTAGCATCATAGCAAACGAGACAGCAAATTTGACTCGATGTTCCCGTTATCCAGATTCAATGCGTTGTTGCTCCTCTGAATAAAGTAACTTTCGTATGCGTCTAATTTGCGCGCGTCGCCTAGCTCTTTCACCAGCCGTAAGTTGCTTATGTCGATGTTCAAATGACCGCTGTTCAATGCATGTAATGCTAAGGCAGAGCGGTAGCCCTGTTTGTTTTTTATGCACAAACAATGTTCACGGAAACGAACTGAAATGTTACGTTTCGTTTGTCCAATGTATTCACACATACAAACGGGGCACTGAATAGCATAAATGCCAGATTTGTGTAAAGAATCAATTGTGTCTTTGGTTGAACCCAACAAATAATTAACAACATTTCTTTTTCAATTTGAGAGTAATTTCTTTCAGAAGCGGTTAGGCTGCGTGAAGCAAACAAAACTGGTTTGCCATCTTGAATCAAACCACATCCTAAGCCACCCTGTGACGCATCACATTGAATGATTAACTCTTTTGAAATGTCGAAAGGCACGAGAATTTCCGAATTGAGAATGCATTTTTTGATCTCATCGAACACTTTGTCATGTAA